ATCGGTCAATTGACTTTTGCGTGCGGCCGTCCGCGAGTGTAACTTGCGTAGGTTGCGTCTTTCTTCGAACGCGCGGGCCAAGACCTGCGCGGGCCRTAAAGGCTTGACTCATGAAGTTGCGAGACGCTCCGCAATCAATCAAGGCACTACAGGTTGCCTTTCCGATTTGAATGCGGATATAGAGCAAAGGTGCGTCGGTTTTGGCGTACCTTTGGGTGGCGTGCTCGCGGTCGATCTTCGCAAGATAGGAGCGGAGATCGGCAACCGCCACCCTGTCGTCCGTCAACGGGGCTGGTACTATAGTGTGCAAGTAGAAGCGTAGATTTGCCATCAAGGCGTTGCAATGCGGCCTTGGCAATGTTCCGGTCGAGGGTAGAGGTATCCAAGCAAAATCCTCTCTCGTGAGCGGGTCAAGCTCCTCAAGTCTTGACCACGCCGTCGAGTCCTCGGAAAGCAGTAGCGAACTGACCGGATCACTTGCCGACGGTGTACAGGCTGCGCATACGCAATCTACATGCACGTGGCTAGGCTGGTCTAATGGTGGTACCAGCTGGGCGGCATAATCGTCGTACGTAGCACGAGAATCAGCGACTAACGCATGCTCCCCGGTAGTGACATCGATTGCTAGCAAGGCAACCGGGTCTGGCGGAGTGAGGAGAGACGTCGCCCCTCTCCTTGCGTAACTCAGTTTCCCGAGTTTGCTGGACAGGGTRCGCGTGCCTTGCCCTTTTCGGGGCATTGTGCGGTCACATGGGTGACTCCGTTGCACCAAAGGCAGTATCCGTACTTCTGACGTAGGTCATAGACCTCCTTGGTGATCTTATATGCCGTCCATGGTTGCCCAGCTCCCGTCACTGTCGTCTCTTGTGTCGCCTTGTTCTTACGAACTCTCTTGGGACGCTTCGGCGGGAGCGCTGCGACAATTCCTCCATCACCCGAGGATGCTGCTGCAGCGTGGTGGTCGTCGGTTTCCTCAGAAATCACGGCATTCTTATGTGTCGGACGTTGATAGGCCTGCTTAGCCACATAATGCGGCTGGGATTGTCTCTCGTTAGCGGCCTTGTCGTCCGTTTGGATGACCAAGTTCGCTCTATCCAGAATGGCCTGGAATGTGGTATAGTCGTACTCGTTACCGAGTGCCGACCGCAATCCCGCGCACGATCGCGAGAAGAACTCGGATCGTTGATTTGGAAAACTCAAATCGAATCCTGGCATGGTCACTATCTTTTGCCACTTCGTTGTCCAGTCTCGAGTTGGCATGTTCCCCTGAGAGCATGTGTACACCTCATTCATGGCCGCCTTCACGACGTTGCGGACCATGAACCGGGTGAACCATAGCTGCTCGAACTCCTTCCACGTGATGTGCGTGTGGAGTTCGGCGATGGTGCACCTGTGGGTGCCCGCCAGGTGGTTCATCCATGCCTGCGCTCCTCCAATCAGTTGCAAATAGAGTGCCTTCAACATGTCGTTCGCCGGGACAGTGCGGCATGATGCTTCCGTGAGGAAACGTTGCCACCATGTCAAAGCGTCCGACTTGTTGTAGTCGTCGAACTTGCAGATGTCGAAGTGCGGCATCTTGAATGTCTTTGTAGCGGCGTCCGGTCTCGTCTGTAGCTTGGTGATGTCCGTCTTGAGGGCGGCCACCGTTTTGCTGATCGTGTCCGGTCCGTTGAAAACACCTATGTCGCCGATGATGGTGACGACGTGATCGATGCGTTCATTGATTTGCTTCGTCGCATCCGTCGTGCAGCCTGGCGCTGCTGAGGCCTTGGCCTCAATGCCGCTGATGCGTGCGATGGTAGAGTTCATCACCTGTTGCTGTTGCTGCTGGTGCACTGCTGCGTCGCGGACGTCGGCCGTTACAGCGGCCAGGTCTTGCTGGTACTGCTGTCTTTGCTGTCGTTCCGCGTGCAGGTGTGCCTGCAGTAGTTTGTTGTTCCACATTACTCCCCTCATTACGTTCAACATCATAGTAGCCAGGTTACTTCTCTCTGCCTCCACCTGTGTCGGCTCCGCCTGCGTTTCCGTAGGCACAAAGATCATGCCTTGGAGTACCGTTGTCCACTGATGCTCACTAGCAATCAGGGACTCCGTGCTGGTGGCATTCCGTCTGTTTCGTGCCGCTTCGTCAGTCTCAGCTGTCCGCTGAGCTTCGGCTGTCGCTTCATTGGCCAGCCGCTGACGTTCTGCTTCTGCCGCAGCCTGCTGAGCCTCGGCGGCGGCTACGGCGTCTGTAAATGCCTGTAGCCGCCCACGATAGTCGGCCCAAGACTCCTGGCCTCTCGGACCGGGCATGCGGGAAAATCTCCGGTGGTGTCTTGTACTATCAATGCCGTACTTGATGCCGCTGGAGTCATCCATCTGCTGAATCTCTTGGGTCTTGGAGGTACCGCAGGGCGGGCACGAACTGCGATCCTGGCACTGCGCCGTGGCAGTGCCCTGGTGTCCTGTTCCGTCGACATCAGTCTGAACTGATGCGATACTTGAGAGGTGTCGGTGTTCACAGACTACAGGGGGGGTAGGTAGAGTGGGAACAGGGGTAGAACAATCAAGCAATATACATACAACCCCCTGTCCCACTGATGGACTGTAGACACCTAATCAAACAGGAAAAAAATAAATTTCCCGTAAACCCTTCCGAATGATAATCAGTAAAACAATGTTTGTAATAAAGATAACCAATTAATAAATGAATTTGAAAAGTATTATGATTGGGTCTCTTTGAGATCACTTTGAGTCCGGGAGTTCACCGTTACTGAGTGAACTACCCGGAAGTTGCAGTTTGAGGGTCAGATACGGCTTAGTGTGCTAAAAAAATTTCGGAAAAATTCAGAAGAAAAAACGCTCGAATTTTCAAAAACGCAAATTTTTGGGAATTTCCACCGTCAAAATCCGATTTTTAAAAGCCTAAACCTATTTTCGGAATTTCTCAAACAAGGAGAACGAAAAAAAAAATTC